GCCATTATGGAAAGTGGCATATTGCTTACCTCTGCACATGTAAGCATTTCCCTTCTAATATAGAAGGGGGTAATGTAGTAAGGTTTGTAGGTCATTACAATGTGATTTATATAAATGTTTTTATTGCTATTTTAATAAAAGTTGGTAAACGATGGTGATCTCTTCCCTGGTTGTTGTGAGAGGAGAGAAGTGTTACTTGGACCTGTCATTTACCCTGGATACTTTGGAAGGATGAATTAACCCTTGGTGGCCTCTGTCAACCTGGAGAGTGTGGAGGAGCAGGAGGATACCATTATTAATGTCAATATAGACCTACTTATTTATATACGAGGTCACACTGGCGCTGGTGAGCACCCATAGGGGTTAGAAGCACTGAAGAGCACCTGTCTACAGTTTGATTGATGTGAACTGCTAATTTTATATATATCTAGGCAATTAGTTTACCTAGATTGCTCCATGATAACACGTTATTCACATCGGATGTCTATGCACTATAGGGTTTTATCCCAGTTACAACATTAATATTACTTGCATGAAATTTAAGATGTTTGTTACAGGTTGGAAGACTCCTGTTTTCAACTCGCCACTTGGTCAAATTTCCACTTCCAGTCAGGAAAATGTGAGCTTAGCTGAAGAGGTCTTAGCTTTGTGGAACAGAAGTATTGTTAAACAACTTGCCTTTCGGGCACTTTTACCCCCTTCCTGCCGAGGCCAATTTTCAGCTTTCAGCTCTGTTGCACTTTGAATGACCATTACATGGTTATGCAACATTGTACCCATATGACATTTTTATCATTTTTTTCACACAAATAGAGCTTTCTTTTGGTGGTATATCGCCACTGGGGTTTTTATTTTTTGCACTGTAAATGAAAAAAGAGCAAAAAATTTGAAGAAAAAAAAAAGTTTTCTTTGCTTCTATTATAATTTTATAATTTTGCAAACAGGTAATTTTTCTCCTTCACTGATGTGCATTGATGAAGCCGCACTGATAGGAAGCACTGATGGGCACCGATGAGGCGGCACTGATGGTTGCACTGATGGGCATTGGTGAGGAGGCTCTGATGATGCACTGATAGGCAGCAATGATGGGCACTGTTAGGTGGCACTGACTGGCGGCACAGACTGATAGCACCGACTGGTGGCACTCATGGGCGGCACTGCTGGGCAGCGCTGATGGGTGACACCGCTGGGTGGCACTGATGGGTGACACTGCTGGGCGGCACTGATAATCAGGGCACTCATAAACAGTGCCCTGATTATTAGTGCAGATCTCCCCTGTCATATTTGCCCGTTATGGGCAGTACTTTCCTCATGCTATCACACCGGCAACTGTATTTACATTGTGATATGCTGTGTCAGTGGACACAGCTGATCCCATGGTAAAATGCTGCTGTGATTGGCCCTTTGCCTTATCACATGATCAGCTGTGTCCGTAGGACACAGCGATCGCCAATAACGCTGGGTGCGCATTTTGGTAGGACGTCCATGGGCGCCCTTCCAGAACTGGAAAAACCGCACTGTAGGGTGGTTGGGAAGCAGTGAATTTTGGGGGCTTGGTTTAGTGCTTTTTGGCTAAAGTCAGCTTAAGTAAGATAGCTGTTTGAGAAATAACACTGGTCCATCAAGAAAAAAAAGGTTTTTTTGTTTATTAAATTTACAATTTATTTTGCTAATACTAAGCCTTTATTGCCCACTTAAAATGACAAAAACTGTATTACTTTGTAATATGTAATGACAAAGGTATTGCAAAATAAATAGGCCCATAGCTGAAATGTAAAAAATTGCCCTGCTCCATAGGGGGTGTGGGGGGGGGGGTATACAGAGGTGAGAACTAAAGTGGTCAAAAAAAAAAAATAGAAACGCAGACCATTAATAGAGCAGAGTGTGCAAAAACCTGACCATCAGCTCCCATGCAAGTGTTTTTTACAGGCTAACTCATCTTTTTTGAAGATTCTGCAATCTGCAGCCAGTGAACACAAGACTTCTGACCTACATGCTTATTTTTGGCTCATGACTAATTAAACCAACAAAAACGCAGAAGCTAACATCTTTCAAAATGAAGGTGACATGGATGTTCCTATTTTTATTGAAAGGTTTATGGTAAATGGGGTTATTGCTAAAAGACTCAAAAGTACAGTATGTTTAATAATCGCAAAACGGAATCTACACCTCTGTCCCCATTCTCAGTAAAAAATTTTCATTGTGAGCTTTACTCCAATAATTGGGTAAAGGACAATATGAACTGACGAGTCATTTCTCATTGTTTCTTCCTTTCAAAAATTGTAAAAACCAATGGCTGTCCTCAACCAACATTTTCTGCTACTGACTGCTAAATTTCATGGGGAATCTATTACCACACTGGTAGCTATCTTGTTGAAATCATTAGGTCCAATGATTGGTGTGCAGGGTTGTATATGAGGTAATTGTTCAGGATGTGCATAACGATGCAAACACTACACCCATCTCTTTAAGATGATAAAGCCCCCAAACACAAATTGATTTCTAGGAAGGTTAATGCCATCCAAGGAGTCCCCAATAAAGGATTTAAACATTGCAAACCGCACAGTAAATTGTTCTTCCTTCAACTCTACTCAAGCCATTTCTTGAGTGGTACAGAGTCTCCTGCTTTATAAAAAGGTCCCTTACATTCATTGTTGGAAGGAGTGCTCATTGCATACAAAGGAGGTACAACAAGATGATATTACAATGAAAACAAAAGTGCAGTGCCTAAGTGATCAAGAATTAATATAACACTCTTATAATCAAAAATCAAAGTGTAAATAGTATGTCGTACTTATGACAAAAATAATCCACAAAAACTTGACTTTAAAAAGTGCATAAAAGGTCCCACAAACGTGATTCTTCTTAGTGGTAAATAAATAATTCCAACAGTTGTCCTTGTGTAGTATTCATCCAACAGTCCAGCTATATCACCACATGTTGCTCTGGACTTTGCACACTCACCAGCTATTAAGCTGCATCAGAAAGGCAGCAGACAGCATTTTTAGTACAGACAGGGCATCACAGTTTGGGAATTCATCCACATGGTAATCCTACACTCTCACAGGGGGCTGCCAGCACCACCGATATATCAAGACTAGGAGGAACGCTCACCACACCAAGCCACAGAAAAAGGTATATAGTGTGGTAATTTATTCGTAAAATCAGCTTTAAACACTTTTCCATCTAGATGGAGAAATTAATAAAGTTACGGAGGACCTCCAACCTTTCAAGGAGAAGGAAGAGTATATAAAACTGAATAAGATATATAGAAGAAAATGTTGGAATATACAGAATCAGAACAAAAGTATAAGAAAAACAATTTGTTCAATAGGGATTTGGGAGATTATAGAAATGGTATAGTGTTTGAATGGCAAGAAGATGAAATACCCAGCTCTAATCAAGGGGGAGGAAGCAAGTACTTCCTCACAACAAACAGCCCAACCATTTCACAATACACCCAAAGACCCAGTCCTTACATAGGGGTAGGGAAGTAAGAATCCCCATGGGCAACTTGGACCTCCCTATAGAAGGGAACATTCCTCTAAAGGAAGGAATAGGAATCATAGTAACCCCTATTACCCACAAAGAGGGGTGAGACGGAATGAATATAGAGACCCTGGATTTAAAAATGCATGGCAAGTTCCCACCTACTGTATAATAGAGATGATGCACTGCATTATCTAGAAGATGATGAGGTGGGATATAGAGACTTCAGGGCCCCCCCAACTCTCTGGAAGGAGGAATGAATCAGGATAATACTACAATAAGTGTAACCAACAATACAAAACATGAGGACATAAGAAGGATTATCCCAAGTTTACTTCTCAATAACCTACTCTTGGACCAGCCAGCACCCCAAAATACTATCAGACATATAAAATGGGGGGGTCAACAACCAGATAGGGTACTAGATAGAGAGAAATTATACTTATAGAAGGATGGCTACACACATCATTCTCAACAAGGGGGGAATCATTGTTTTTTAGGGGCAGAATGTTTTTTTTACCCACAGTAAGAGTTTAAAAGAGTATGTAACTGAGTAACCTCAGTAAGAGGTTAAACATGTATTAAATAAAGGATTACAATTTTCACCCCATACTAAATTGAAAACTTTCCAAATGTATAATGATGTAAACAAATTTACAAGACAGGTAGCCATTAAAGGCTAAGTTCACATTTTTTTTTATAAAATCCAGCTCCAGTATGAAACAATATACCATTAATGTATAATACAAGCTCTCTTTGATTTTGAGAACAGGGCCTTACCTTAGCCCTTGGTAAATTTCTTAAAAACGTTTTCACGTTCTGACAGATTACCAGCTGATCTCATTAGCACACACACACCCTGCACTCCCCTTATTAAACACACACCCTTCACCCGTCAACTATTTTTTCACTGTATCCCAAGCAAATCTCCCCATATGCATTTGCCTGGCTATCCTGGTGTCTCTACAGACGGGTTTAGGCTGCATGTAGCCCACAGGACACCTCTGATGTAGTGCATGGGCCTGCTTGATTGGATACAGAGCAATTGGATAGATGATGTGTCCTCTTATATAGTTTTATATAGTGTTATATAGTGTATGGCCAAATTTATACATTTATATATGGCCAAAATGTATATACGGCCAAAATTACCTAGTTGCGCTTTTACTGTAATTAACCGCTTCTCGCCCGGCCAATAGCACAAAGGCGGCCGGCAAAACACCTAGTCCCTCGGGGTGGACACTATATGGCGTCCTTTCAGGCATGCGTAGTGCGTCTGCCCGCAGGGCAGCTCTGCGGTGTGATCTGTCACCAGCCATGTACCTCAGACACAGCCGATGACAGATCTGTGTACCGGCCCCGTTTTCAGTACCATGTGACCTGTTGTGACCAATCACAGCAGGTCACATGACAGTTTTATACAATGGATGGCTTCCTTTCATGCCATCCATTGTATACTAGTGTGTCTAGCTGTGAATGGTCACAGCGATCACAGGCACAAGCTGGGTCAATCACAGCCCAGCTGTGTCGTGATAAGCACAAAAAAAAAAAAAATCACATCTAAGCACAGAAAAAAAAAAAAAAAAACCCTAAATGAATCGGTTATTACCGTAAATGCTTGCTTATAGCAACGTAATTCTTTGCTATAAGCAAATTGTGTAAAAAAAAAAAAAAAAAAAATACTGATCACTTCCCCCAAAGTAGTACAATGTTACTATGGTAACATTGTACTACTTTGGTCATAGTAAAAGATGAAAAAAAAATCTTAAAAAAAGAGAAAAACATTTAATAAAAAAATAAAACTAATACATTTTTTTTTTAAAAATTATAATTTTTTTTTTGTACTGTCACCAGTCAGTGTCCCTGATCACCGCCATGCCAGTTATATGATGACGCTGTACTGCACTGGTGACAGTATGTAAAAAAAAAAATTGTGAAAATAATTTTGTTAATTTTTTTCATTTTCCAAAAAATTATGACAAAAAAATTACAACTTCAAAAAACTCGCCATGCCTTTTATGAAATACTTGGGACTATCTACTTTGCAAAAAAGTGGTCATTTGGGGGATGTCTGTACTGTTCTGACATTCTTGGACCTCAAGAAATTAGATTGGCTGTCAGTACTTCAGGATTGATCAATATTCAGATCTATACCATAGTTTGTGAACTCTCTAACTTTCCTACAAACTAAAAAATACATCCTAATTTGGGTTATTTTCATCAAAGACATGTAGAAGAATACATCTTGGCCTAAATTTATGAAGAACAATTATTTATTTGCAAACTTTTATAACAGAAACAAAGAAAAATGTGTTTTTTTTCAAACTTTTTGGTCTTTTTTTGTTAATGTAGCAAAAAAAAAATAAAAACCCCAGTGTTGATTAAATACCACCAAAAGAAAGCTCTAGTTTGTGTGAAGAAAATGATAAAATTTTAGTTTGAGTACAGTATTGTATGACCGCGCAATTGTCATTCAAAGTGTGAGAGCGCTGAAACCTGAAAAATGGCCTGGGCAGGAAAGGGGTAAAAGTGCCCTGTATGGAAGCGGTTAATTGTTAACAGCACACCAAACACCGAAACAAGCACACATTTTGCTACATGAAAAAAACTGGCAACAGATGCAGCAAAGTGTGCAGGAAAAAACGTGCAACTCGCACCATGCCATAATGTCCCATGAGCTACTTTTCCACATGTAGCGCAGCCCCCTGAAATCAATGGGCTGCCCTATGTGAGTCACTGGAAAAACAAGCCAAAACACATGAGCTCCCACTACTCTATGTGTGAATGAGGTCTGAAAGTTAAATTGGTTTGTTCACACAAGAACAACGAGGCTCCATTCACATATGTGTGTTTCCGAATGCATGGCAATCTACACAAAAAATACGTGCTTTGGCATGCGTTTCAAAAACACACTACAAATGTGCATCATGTTTGTGTTGTCATTGCCTGTTAAAGGCTTCCCAAGTGCGGCACATACATCAAAAACTTCAGTAACGCACCATGTTCTGCTCCAAAAAAAAGTTCTGGTGCTTTTCTGGGGTGAATGTTGCGTGTAGGGCAGACCATTCAAGTGAATGGGATGCCCTATGCTTGATGAGTGGAAATGCTCCAAAACACCCAGAACAAACGCATGCGGGAATGTGAGTTTCACACCCTTCAATGTACTTGTATAAAGATAGCCTTACATTATGCAATTTGATTGTACAATTTCCTTTAGCTTTACCAGAACTATGGGAATAGGAGGACACACCTGAACAATCTATTCAATTTGTATCAAATCAGACAGGCTTTTGTACTACATAGCTGAGGGGAGATCTAAATCTACAATCAGATTGTATACGAAGTTGGTGGAAGGTAGTATTGTAATCATGGAGGTGTGGTCCAGAGTGGTGAACACACCCTACCACGCCCTCTTCTGTAATGCAAGCAACCAAAGGCTTCTGGGAGGTGGCCTACAGGAAGCGAATGCTGAGAGATAATCTACAGGAAATGATGGCATCTGAAAATCAGTTCAAAATCTCACATAAACTGACAAAAAAATTAAACCTCCTGTGGATGAGGGAAGTGAGAGAAAAGCACATTGGGATGGCTGGGCCAGAAATGGCATTAGAAAACGCTTCTATTTATTATGAACAGTAAAATGCCACCCAAAAATGTATCCCTTAAGAAATACTTTGCCCAAAATCCTATTATTAGGAATGTCAATATGAATTCTCAATAGTGATGGGCCGAACACCCCCGTGTTCGGTTTGCGATTGAACGTTTGAACCAAATGAACATTTGATTTCGAACTTCAAACTCAATGCATGTCTATGGGACTCGGATTTGTAAATTCAAAAGTGCCATTTTGAAGACTTGTATGCAAGTTATTGGCCATAAAAGGGGTATGGGGACTCGGGTACTGCCCTGAGGGACATGAATCAGTGAAAAAAAAATGTCAAAAAGTACAGTTTTTAAAGGGGCGGTCATTGCTCATTGCTTAACCACTTGGCACCCGCGCTACAGCCGAAAGACGGCTACAGCACGGTTGTCCAGTTTTTGGAGGGCATCATATGACATCCTCCCAGCATGAGCCCTCCTGCACGCCCCCAGTGGCGCACACCGGGCGCTGTCCTTATGGACACAGCTGATCACGTGATGTGGTAACAGGCCAATCACAGTGGCCTTTTACCACGTGATCAGCTGGGTCCAATGATACAGCAGATCACCGGGTAAATGCAGTTGCCATGTACCGGCTGTACTTTCCTCACGCTGTCACAGTGTGAGGAAAGTACTGCCGATAACCAGCAATTGTGAGAAAACAGATTGTACTGATCATCAGGGCACACTGATCAGTGCCTTAATAATCAGTGCCCAGCAGTGCCACCCACCTAATCCACCCACCTGTGCCCAGCAGTGCCACTCACCTGTGCCTTGCCGTGCCACCCACCTGTGCCCAGCCGTGCCACCCACCAGTGCTCAGCAGTGCCACCCATCATTGCTGTCCAGCATTGCTGCCAGTCAGTGCCGCCAGGCAGTGCTCATTGGTAGTGCCCATCAGTGCTGCCTATCAGTGTCCATCATTGCTGCATATCAGTGTTGCCTATCAGTGCTGCCTATCCGTGCCGCCTATCAGTGCCCATCTGTGTTGCCTATCAGTGCAGCCCCATCAATGCACGTCAGTGAAGGAGAAAAATTACCTGTTTGCAAAATTTTATAATAGAAACAAACTTTTTTTTCTCAAATTTTTTGCTCTTTTTTTTGTTTATAGCACGAAAAATAAAACCACCACAAGAAAGCTCTATTTGTGTGAAAAAAATGATAAAAATGTTTTATGGGTACAGTGTTGCATGACCGTGCAATTGTCATTCAAATTGCGAGAGCGCAGGGGGTTTACGTGCCCAGTAGGCAAGTGGTTAAAGTAAAAAAATAAATTCCTTTAAACTCTTACCGGTCTATGATGGCTACAGAGAGGTCATCTATTTCTGGGAGGGCATCATCTGACATCCTCCAGAATCATGCCTGGGGCACGCACCTGGTGAGCTCTGTGATCGCTCTGATCACATAACATGGTAAAGAGCTGATCACAGCTTCCTTTTGCCACATGATCAGCTGTGTCCAGTGTGCAGAGGGTCCTTCAGAATTTCTAGAGTTAATGTGGTTACACCCCTTTAGCACCTGATGGATAAATGCATGCACTAGCTGTATGGATTTGAGCACAGGGATCTCTTGTTTGTTGCAATGCCACAGCTGATCACATTGTAAATATAGTTGCCGGTTATTGGCTGCACTTTCCTCACGCTGTCACAGCATGAGGAAGAAGGAGAGCTGATAATCAGTAAGTGTAATTAAGAAATCAGAGGCAGTCCAGTGCAGCCCCAACAGTGTCCATCAGTGTAGCATATCAGTACCAATCAGTGCAGCCTCATCAGCACACATGAAGAAGAAAAATGACATGCTTGCAAAATGTTACAACAGAAACTAAGAAAAAAACAATGTTTTTTTCAAAATGTGTGGTCTTTTTTTGTTTGTTTAGCAAAAAAATAATAAACCCAGTGGTAATTAAATACCACCAAAAGAAATCTCTCTATGTCTCAAAAAAATTATAAAAATGTCATATGTGTACAGTGTTGTATGACCACGCAATTATCATTCAAATGTGACAGCACTGAAAGCTGAAAATTGCCTGGGCAGGAAGGGGTTGAAAATGCCTGGTAGGCAAGTGGTTAAATATCATACCAGGGGGAGGGGGGTCCCCTTAAACTACCTGCAAAGTTGCACATCTGTACAATGTATAGAACCTGCTGCAGCAGCAGGACTGACATTTTTCTTTTTTAAATGGCATTTTTATAAAAAAAAAAACAAAAAACAACAGCATGGGGTCCCTTCAATCCATACCAGACCTTTTAGGTCTGGTAGGAAGGTTGAGAGTGACCCCACTGTAAAAAATTACAAAAAGAAAAGTGCGTGGTGTTCCCCCTAAAAACCATACCAGGCCCTTTAGGCCTGGTAGGACTTTAAGGGGAACCACACCTCCCAAAAATAGGGGGAAAAGTGCATGGGGTTCCCCCTAAATTCCTACCAGACCCCCGATCCATGCACAGGCCTGGCAGGGCAGGAAGGTGGAGGGGGACAATCGATCACCTGCGGCTTACCAGGCCACGTGCCCTCTGCATTGTGAAAGTGCAGGGGGCTCCTGATGCTGCCCTCCCCATGTGAATGTGTAAGGGGTACTTGTACCCCTACCCATTCACTAAAGGGTTAAATTCAGTAAAAAAATAAAGAGACCAGTCTTTTGAAAAATTCCTTTAACCACTTGCCTACTGGGCACTTATATCCTCTTCGTGCCCAGGCCAGTTTTCAGCTTTCAGCGCTGTTGCACTTTGAATGACAATTGTGCGGTCAGCAACACTGTACCCATGTGAAATTTTTATCATTTTTTTCACACAATAGAGCTTTCTTTTGGTGATATTTAATCGCCGCTGGGTGTTTTATTTTTTGCATTATAAACAAAAAAAGAGCAAAAAATTTGAAAAAAATACGTTTTTCTTTGTTTCTATTATAAAAGTTTATAAAAAAACAGGTAATTTTTCTCCTTCACTGATGTGCGTTGATGAGGCTGCACTGATGGGCACTTATGAGGTTTCACGGATAGGCAGCACTGATAGACTGCACTGTTGAGGTGGCACTGATGAGGCGGCACTGGTGGGCATTGTTGAGGAGGCACTGATGATGTTGCACTGATATACTGCAATGATGGTCACTGACAGGCAGCACTGATGGGTACTGATAGGCAGCACTGATGGGCACTGATAGACGGCACTGACGTGCAGCTCTGACTGACGGCACTGATGGGCAGCTCTGTCTGACGGCACTGACTGATGGCACTGACTGGCAGCACTGATTGGTGGCACTGATGAGCAGCACTGCTGGGCACTGATGATCACAACTGCTGGGAAGCACTCCCAGTAAAAAGAGTTATCAATAAACATTGGAGTATTTTAAAGAGAGATCTTGTCTTGAACTCTATTCTTCCAGAACAGCTGAAAATAATATTCCAATTTGAGGGATAAAATAGCCAAAATGTTGTGAATCCTCCCACTAAGATTTATTTTTTTTAAAAAAATTAAAAGGTTATTATCCTGTAGTACTTACATAATGTGCAAATTGAGTAATACCAGAAGGAAAACATGTACTTCTTTTCTGTCTATGAGTACAGGTAAACATTATGAGATTGATTCTTTTATTTTCTGCAATACTAGACATGTAGTCTATTTATTAGAATGATCCGCAATAAACAATGTATTAGTCGGACTACAAAATTGTTGAAGGACAGACTACAGGAAGATGTGTACAATATAAGGAAGGGTTTACAGGATCATAACTTGTTAGCCCGATAAGAGAAATTGGTGGGGGGTAGGGGGCGGATCCTGAACATGGCGGTGCAGAAGAGCACGATGTGAGTGCTCTCTGACAACCTCCGTTGCCAGCCACCCCAAGAGCCCTCCTAGGGGCAGTTACCAGAGCCATACCTGGGGAGAGGAGGTCCTCCTGTGGGAGAAATGCCGGCGCGGTGAGTGGGGACCGAGATTGAGCGGGCCCTGAGTATCCGGAGACGTGCCAGCGGTAATCCAGGAAGGAGCAGTGGGTTGCCGGGGAGACGGAGTGACACGTGGTCATCCGCGAAGGACTACTGGGAAGGAGAGAGAAGCCGGCCGGCGTCCAGAGGAGAGATGGAGACGCCGATCCAATCCCTAACCCATCTCCCAGCCTGATTAGTAGACTGCCTTTCTGTCAGAGGTCTACAGAGGGCCACACAAAGCAAGAAGAGACCCTGGAGGAATCCCCCTAAGAAACAGATAAAAAGAGGACACCGGAAAACTGCAGACTGGTGCCATCTCGCAGGAGAATCGAGTGAAGGAGGGTGAGTGAGAACGGCCCAGGTTAACTGTACACTGGATTGGACTGTGGGATATAATTTAAACATTCTGTAAAGGAGGAAAAGGAGGATTCCCAGGGGATGTGAAGGTGTGGAAGAGGAAAAGGGGTTAAGTGGCTCTAGAAGAGGAAAAGAAAGTGATAATTGATAAATAGTAGATCAATGTTGGCTGCCTAATATATATTCTTAATACTTCCCCTGGTTTTGTAGAAGAGAATAAGTTACACAGAAGATATGAAGAATAAAAGCGCTAAAGGAAGTGGGCTTAAAGGGTCCCAAACTGGTAAGATTAAAAAATACACGTCCCAGGGAAATGTGACTCCAGAAAGGTCCCAAGGTGGAAGCGAAAAAGGGGAAATGGAAATTAGTCTGGAAAATAGCCCTAGACTACCGCTGGGACTGAATAGTAGTAGTCAACAAATGATAGAAATATAGAGAGGAAAGATCTTGAAAGCGATTTACAAGTACCGAATAAAAAAAGAAATGGGCAGAAATGTTAAAAAATCTGGAAAAAGCAATAAAGCAAGAAATGGCAACTATACGGAAAGATTTGGGGCATTTGTTTATTGAGAGTGGAAGAAAACGGAGGAAAAAGTTAAAAATCATGCCCCAAATATTTCCAATTTAGAAAAAAGGACAATTACTAATGGGAAAACTCAGAAAAAATTGCTTTATAAGATAGAGGTACAAGAAAACAGGGATAGGATGAGTAACCTTAGGATACGAGGAGTCCCAGAAATCTCTAAAGGGGAAGAATTGCAAGAAATAGTTTGTAAAATCTTAAACTCCATAATGGACAGACCTGAAACAGAGTTGGTTAAATTGGATGGAGTCTTTAGAACAGGAACGTTTTACCAAGGAAATGAGAGAAAAAACCAAGAGACATAATTGTTCAATTTCATAAGTATGGGGATAACGAAGAGATTTGGAGGAAGATCAAAGGAAGAACAATTATTAAGTATGGAAAAATAAACATTCAGAATTTTTGCAGATTTATCACCTGAGACTTTGTGGAAAAGGAGATCCTTGAAACCCCTGTTAGAGCAGATGAGAGAACAGAATGTACATTATAGATGGGGTACCTTAGCGTGCCTAATCGGATGGAAGAATGGAGTTACAGCTCATTTGAGATTTCCTGAGGACTTGAGAGACTTCTGTGATAGACTTGATTTACAAAGAATAGAGATTACTGGATGGGAAGAAGAGGGAGAAATAGCAGTTATGGGAAAGGAGGATTGGCAGTCTGTTAGAAGGGGAAAGTAAGGAGTGTGAGGGTGGTTTTTTTTTTTTCCTCTCTCTTCTTCTTCCTCTTTATGGTTTTTCCCCTGGAGATCCGTGTTTAAGAGCTCGGTGGAAATGTATTGGGCTAAATAGATAGAGGGTAATTAGGGAGGTTGGAAGGGGGGGAGAGCCGTTCATGGGCGGAGTTTAGCCCCAAGGTTTAAATCAAAGGTGGGTTTGGGCCCACAAATGATTAGTAGGCAACTAGAGGCCTAAAAATGGGTAGGGTAGTAAAAGGGGGGGTGGGGGGGTGGGAGGGAATGGTTTGGAAAATGAGTAGTATGGGAGGGTGCGTAGGAGGGGATGGGGGGAGGGGTATTAAGGTTAACACTCTGCATGATGGGAGGAGTTATAAAAGTAGAGAGGGAGGAAGAGTGGGGATGGAGGTGAAGAAAAGAGATATAAGAAGGATGGAAGAACTACAGTTCATAACTTATAATGTAAATGGGTTGAATTGTCCTGGGAAAAGATTTAGGTTATTTAAGGAGTTACAACACAGAGTATCTTCGGTGGTTTTTTTGCAGGAGACACATTTTGAGATAGAGTCAAACGTTAAGCTGAATTCTAGATATTATCCAACATGGTATTACGCAGACTCCCCACCCCAATTAAGAGAGCAAAGGGGAGTAGCATTAGGGTTTGCAAAGAATATAAGGTTTGAGTTGGAGGATAGAGAAATAGACCCTGAGAGGAGATTTTTGTTCTTAAAAGGTAAACTACAAGAAATTGAGTGTACAGTAGCTAATATTTATTGCCCAAATAAGAGATCGGAGATATATTTGAAAGGTATATTGAAAAAAATTGATGGACTTTAAGTCCCTAGCCAATATCAAGTGACCTTTTTAAATTTCTGTATGGATCCACAAATGGATACAACCTCTTCTGTGCAGAGAGAGGGAGGTGGGTCTCTGAGAACTTTGAAGAAGGTGATGCATGAGTGCCAACTGGTGGACATCTGGAGAATAACACATGGGAAGGAAAGAGACTATACCTTCTTCTCAAATGCACACGAGATGTATTCGAGATTGGATTATATATTGTAGATCATGAACTTATTGAGTTTGTGGTTAAAGTATAAATAGAAGCAATGTCCTTCTCGGATAATGCCCCTGTTACAATGAAACTAGGGTGGGGAAGGCGGTTGACAGGAGGTTCAGGATAGAAGTTGATATGAGGCTCTGCTCCTGGATAAGACCGATCAGAAGATTAGGGAAGAGACTGAGCGATTTTTTTCGGGATGAACAAGTCAGGAGACGTGTCGGTAGCTACTGTATGGGAGTCCCATAAGGCTCTTATATAAGAGGAATATTGATTGCGATCGGGGCAAAAAAAGAAAGGGAAAGAAGAGAGAAACTTAGTGGGCTTTTAAAGGAAATATTTGAATTGGAACAGATACATAAAAATAGAATAACAAAAGAGATAAGACAGAAGGTAATAAAGAAAGAAGAACTAGAGATTCTGATGGAAGAGGAGAAAGAGAAGAGCCTTTAATAAAGTGTTAAGTGAGAGGTACAGATGGGGAGATAGACCAGGAAAGTATTTAATGAGAGCCTGAGGAAAAATGAAAAATTATAGGAATTATATAGAAAAAATAAGAAAAACTCCAAGGGAGAACTGGTTCATTCAACTAAAGAGATTGCTAAGGTGTTTAAGGAATATTTAATAGTAAGCTGTATAATATTACCTCCACGACTCTTTAAATAATATTGGAAATGTGAGTATCGAAAAAAGAAGGATATATTTAAAAAGACGCGGGTCTAACGAAATTAAACGAAGCACAGTTGAATTCCCTTGACTCAGAAATTACGCAGGAAGAAATAAAAGTAGCATTAAAATGTACGGACGATGGGGAAAAGCCCAGGGCCAGATGGTTTATACTGTGAGGTAACTATAAAAAATACAGTGAATTGTTAATACCTAAATTGAAGATATATATGAATGCCCTGGGTGGGGAGATGGAAATGAGGCGAGAATCCCTACAGGCTCATGTGGTGCTCATTCAAAAGGAAAGGGAAAAGATGCTTTCTCAGTGCTCTAGTTATAGACCAATCTCACTATTGAACACAGATACTAAGTTATATGCAAAGGTCTTAGCAAACGGGTTGAAAGATGTAATGCCCGAATGATTACATGGGATCAGGTGGGATTTGTGCCGGAGAGAGAGAGGGCAGAGACAATGGGTTGAGATCTTTGAGATCTTTCAGAAAAGTAGGAAGGGAAAACTCTGGTGGTG